ATTTTTTATTACATAAAAATTTTATGTTTTGCATTAAGAAATAATTAAATACACGAGTCTAATAGTAAATTTAGTAACTAAAATAAGTTAAAAAATAAAAAATAAAATTTCAAATATTAATTCCACAATTATTTATATATATATAGAAGAGATATATCAATCTTAAATTTTTTAGCTTATTATCAAATGCCAACAACAAAAAAACAGTTTCTGCTTTCATTTAAAAATAGTTTTATAAATTTGCCAAATACTTATATTTTTCAAAAAATTAATTTTTTTTTTCAAAATAAATGTTTCTTGACTTCCAACCGCAATACCAAACAGACTCAGATAATTCACACCTATTTAATTATTAAAATAAATAAGTGGTTAAAAACATGCACTTTAGTGGACCAAGACTTGCCATCAATCAATTGAAAAAAAGAATGGCTTACAAGTAAATAAGTATTAATTAATTAATTAGTTGGAAGGGAACATATCAAATCATACAATTATTTCATTTACTTCTAATTACATTCAATTCCAATTTATGACTTTTCAAACTCACTTAACTTTATAGCTTAAAAGATAAAAAGTACTTCTAAAAACAATTTCAAAAATAAAAACAATTCCATTTATTTCGTGTATTACTTATATTTTATATACTTTATTTGATATTATATTAGGGATAATGCCCAAGTATCTCCTCAACCTATGCCCGAAATCTCAGAGACACACTTATACTATAATAAGGTCCTATTACCCCCCTGAACTTATTTTATTAATAATTTTTTATCCCTTTTTTAGCCCACGTGACACTATCTGTGGGCCCAACGATGGTTGATTTTTTTCCCTCAAACTAGTGCCACGTAGGCTAAAAAAGGGTAGAAAATTATTTATAAAATAAGTTCAAGGGGGTAATAGGACCTTAGTATAGTATAAGTGTGTCTCTGGGATTTCGGGCATAGGTTGAGGAGGTACTTGTGCATTTTCCCATTATATTATGTATAACTAATACATGATAAATCATAATATTAACAATATTAAGAAATTTTAATATATACATTACCATGATTAAAAACATACAACTGCTCCTCAAATCTTTTTTTACAATATTTGTGGAGGGTATATTTATAAAAAGATATCTGTTTAAAATAAATTATGAAACATATGTTCATTTCAATGCATTAAATCAAGTAATGCATAAGAAATAATATCTGTATAACTAAATAATACCAACATTATAATATTAAACCTCATTTTATTCTTATACAACTTATCAAACGTCTCAAACTGCATTTAATTATTAAACAAAGACGTATTTATCCAAAAATGTGATTTATCTAAATGTTTTTAACGGGTAAAATTTATCCGCATCGAGCGTTTGTTAATCTATTTTATTTGTCTCTTTTATTCTTCCTCTTTCAATCACAAGAACCACGTGTTGTACTTGCATTTTTCTTTGTTGGTCATTACTATTTATTTATGTCGACATGCTAAAAGAATTAATAATTTATCCCCCAAAATTCATAAATTAATATAAATTATTCCTTTCATTTTATTTTACCTAACAATAGTATTTGGACAAGTTTATCGTATACCTCAATTATTCAATTTAATAAATGTTTTTGAAATGTTGAATATGTCATAAATTGTAAAAGATAATTAATATAATCGAAGGATAACGAGCTTCAAAATAAAAAAAGAGTGACAATAGAATATCGTAATGATCAATAAACAATTACTAGAAAAATTATAGGTCTACGCACATATATAAGGAAAAGGGGACAAATATATCCCCTATCTATTGTAAATGATATATAAACATTCTTCGTCATACTTTTAGAACATTGATACCCCTGCCGTCGAAAAATTAGATCATATATACCCTTTATACTAACAGACATACACGTGTTATAATCTTATCCATCAATCCAAAATTTATCTACGGATAAGATTGCGTCACGTGTCTGTATTTAGTCTCCATTAGAGTGAAGGACATATATGCTCTAGTTTTTTAACGGCAGGAGCACTAATCTCTCAAAAATATGTCAAAGAGTAACTGCATTCTATTTACGATAGTTCAAAAGTATATTTGTACTTTTTCCATTTTATAATCACGTAGATGCTGCGTCATTATCCTTAGCTTAATCATTATAATTAGCATTTTTTAATACCAATAAAACGCATATTTTTTTCTTTTGACTAAAATGTAATAATGATTATCTTTAACAAAAAGACAATTTTTTTTTTAATTTAATAACATAAAATACACGTTAATTCACCATCACTTTCAGAAGTTGGTTACTCAAAACAAAATTGTTTAGAATATGATAAAGACTAAACTCAAATGAATCACATAATTTATTTTTGTCTTTTTCAATAATCGATTAAATTCATTATTTATTTTTTTCTAGAGAGTATATCGTATCGTAGTGATAAAACCTAATAATTTTAATCAAAATTCTATATTTTCTATAAGAAATTTATTTTGTACATAAAAATATTAATTTAGAGCATATTAACTTAAAAGAGTTATTGGGTCCATAAATTTCGAATTCAAACTCCTCTCTTTGGATACTGAAATATGTCGTTTAACTTTACTTCAACTGTGGGGGGACCTAGAGTCTCCAAGGGGGTTCACTCGAACCCTCTCGATAAAAAATTACATTGTATATTTAAAGTATTTTAAAGATTTTTTGTGCTTATGTATTGATTTTGAACCTATTAAATATAAGATTAGAGGTTGACTCAGTGATTGACGGGTTCAAACTTCAAATCCAAAGCACTACTCTTTCTTTTTCTTGAACCTCCTAAATCAAAAACCTGAATCCGCCACTGCTTACACTTATACAAAATTGAACAAGTAAATATACATCTTTTACGTGACATAATATACATAAAACGTCACATAAGACACAAAATTATCATGTACGTAGGACTAATGTATCTGTTTATTCACTTTATACCAATTTAAATGTCTATGTATATACTTTCACCAGCTAATTTTAGTTTAAATTTTTGCTCATATCATTATAATGGTTCTATATTTAATTTTAAGATCAGATTAATTATATTATCTAATTAATTACGTAAATGGTTCTAAGTGGACAAATAATGAAATTTAGTTAATAAAACTTGCCATAATTGAAATCAATAACATAAAAATATGTCATAAATAAGAATTCATTTATTTGAAAACATTCCTTAAAGAAAAATAATTAATAATAAAGAAAGACAAAAAGACAATGACAATATACGTCAATAATTGCGTTACTCCAACAAACCAAAATTATAATTTAAAAAATTACTTCCACTATCACCATGCTTTTCTTATACACACATTTTTTTCTCTAATAAAAAATAAAATCAATTTATATGCTATATATATATTCATGTAGCATTTTGTAATCGATTAGAATTCTGATTAATTCAAATTCACGATTTATAAGGTTTAGTTTTTTAAAAGGAGTTAATTATTTTGAAAAAGAAAAAAAAGTCATTTTAAAAAACAAATGCATACTATTTTTTCTATTTTACTTTTGAAAGTATACGTTTGTCCAAATATTATAAAATATAAAAACATTGATGATTCGTCTTTATTTATTGAAAAATTTGACTTAAAAAAACACTAATTAAATAGATAATGATAAATTTACTTGACTACTTAAGGAACCTGAGACTTAAAACAATGACAACTAAATAAGAACAGAAAGAGTACGATTAATAGCAATAACATACCATTGACCAATGTATTTTATGGAGTAATTGGGATACGAGAAAAGATGACGTGTATGCATTTTCTCTCGTGAACAGAGACAGCGTCAAAATTTTTGATAAGAGAATTCAAAATTTGAAGATATAGACACACGAAGTAACCGAAGGGAGTTTGACATTTACTATATATACCTAAAAAATTATTTTAACCATATAAAATAATAAGTACAATTTTTCGCCAAAGAAGATTCGGTTGGTGGTTCCGCCACCGTGAAGGTAGAGTTATTTTTCTGATGAACAATCAATTCAAGTAAAACATATCAAAATTAAATATTATAATAGTAATAATATAGACGAGAGCACTACCAACAACAAGGTAATATGATAATTGAGATAAATAAAATAACTTAAAGTAATAAAATTAGCGAATGAGAAATCAGATAATACTTATTACCTACTAACTTTTTATCCTAAACTCTATCATTCTGGTGTAAAAATATTTATTTTTATTCAATTAATAAATTTTATTATATTTTCTTAATTTGTTAAATTTTTTTTCTAATAAATACCTAATAAATTATTATAAATATTTTTCTATTTTCAAAATTCTCTCTAATTTTTATATATAAAGCCAACCCACTCAGCTTAAACACGCCTCCCTTATTGACTACTGTCTCTCTCTTTCTCTCTCTAGAACTTTCTCTCACTACCCTCAGCTATGGCCGTCGTTGAGCCAACCGCCGCCGCACCGGAAAATCCTCTCCTCCGTCGTCGCAACTCCGTTACGCTACCTACAAAGCTCAGTTTACCTCTTCAATCATCAGCATCAACTACTACAGCTACCGTCACGTCATCGGCTTCGTCTTCGATGACGAATTCGGTAAGCGATGATTTTGAGCTTTTCTCAATTAAACCTGTATCGTATACTTCTCTAAGAGATCTATTACCGCCGGCAACTGTTAATTCTCCCCGGCCTATGGCTACGGCTAGTAACGGCCAATCAGGTTCCGAGATTTCAATACGGAATCGACTTGTGAAGCAAGCCGCTTGGGCTTATCTTCAGCCGATGTCGACTTCGCCGGATTCATCCGGACGGAGCTTATTTAGCCGTCTCTGGTTCCGATTTCCGGTTAACAATCCCGTTGCCGGAGTAATCGAATTCGTTGATCGGTGCATTTTTGCTCCTTTGAGTAGAGCTGTTGATTGGATACTTCGTGCTATTCGGATCCGGAGCTCCAGATAACAACAAATACAAATAATCCGAACATATACTTCGATTAAAAAAAAAATTAGCATCATAAATGTACAACGAACGAATTTCATTTTTCTATATGTATAAACCATAAGAAAAAGGAAAAAAATTCAATAAAAAAATACTTGTGATTTTTTTTTTGTCGTCGTTCATTTTTGATTATATACAAATTACAATGTACAAATGTATTGTTACTAGAGCGTCTATATTAGAATCCATATTGGGATCCGAACCGGGTTCGAGATAATCCTCTGGGTCTAGGTATCGAGTTCGATCCTTCAGGTGTACTCGGGTCGGCTAGGTTTAGTATATGGACCGGTGAGAGGAGTAAGACCGCGGAGATTGTGGTTGCCTTCTATCTGATCGTGGTGATGGTGGTGGTGGTTGCCTCCGATCGGATGATGGCTTACTTCTCCGAAAGAACCCGAATGACGATGACGATGATGGTGATGGTGGGGCCGAAGGTGGTGGCGATCGGCGAGAATGGTCAGTACCATTTCTTTGCTGCAAGAATTGGTCAAATTATTTATAATCACGTAAATATTATAGATCGTGACTCGTTTCTTACTTATAAGCTTAGTCAAACACCTTCGTAAAATATTTGAAATTGAGGAGGAAGTAACGAGGAAATGAGAAAATAGATTATGATAGTGATAGTGGGAAAAATAAAGGAACGGTGGGGAATTATTTGTGAATTTAATTTTGTTAGTATTGTTTATTTTTTTAAATTGAATTGTATGATTGTTTTTTTATGAATTATGTATAGTGGAAAATAGAAAATTAAGACAATCTATGAAATTTAAACGTGTAAGATTTGTCTCATTATTATATAGTTTCTTGTAACTTAATGTGAAAGCTTCGTTGGTAAATAAGTTATTTCCATCGTTTCAATTTATATAAAGTAAATCGTCTCAATGAAGTAATTTGTCTGGATACAAAATTTAAGAAATATGAAAAAGACGGTATCATGTAAATGTATGGATGTTGGGCCGGTCCAATATGATTTCTAGGCCCAATAAGTAGATTTCCTAGAGCCCAATATGGAATTCGATTTTCAAAAGGTCCTATATTTTGAAAATTTTGAAAAAGGACTAATCCACACCCAAAATCTTCGAAAAATACAAGAAAATATACAAAAGGACGGTCTGGTGCACTAAGTTTATGCGTGGGATCAGAAAAGGGGAAAACCATTATACATCATCTTACTCTTCATTTCAGCAAGAGGTTTTTTTGAAGAAAATATAAGTCAAATATCGCTCAACTTCTTTTCAGAAAGGAATCATCCACACACGAAACATTCACGAAATGAAGAAAATAAGTCGTGTTCTCTAAAAAAAGCACAGTTTGATACCCTAAGCTTATGCACGGGGTCCACAAAAGAACTAGACTACGAGGGTCTGTTATAGATAGTCTTGCATTTCAGCAAGAGGTTAATATAGATCGTATATCTTTGAAAATTTCGAAAAAGGAATAACCAACTCGAAAAAACACTCACGAAATCAAGAAAATATGTTTTGCCTAAAGAAAAACCATTTAGTCCACTAAGCTTATGCAGGGTATCCTGAAAAAGGACAAGACTACAAGGGTTTGTTATACTCGGTCTTATTCTACATTTCAGTAAGAGATGTTTCGAAGAAAATACGTAGGGAGTGAAAGTACCTCAGAGATAAGATGTGAATCTCTTCTAGATGGAGAAGCAAAATCAAGCAATTGAAAGAACTTAGCTTGTCCCAATTCAGTGCAATTTTGCCAGTAATAAATAGCCAAGTCAAATGCCCTTGTTCTGAACTCTAGAAAACCCCTGTCAATATCTGGTTCATGCCTTGATACATATGGTTTCAATAATGTATCATATATGTATCTTGTTCCCTTTGTTTTTGGATACCATAAGTATATTATAAGTGCCAATTTTGCTTCACTGTACATTGGTAGCCTGAAATAAACAACACAAAAGTGGAATGTCAAATGCAATTCACACATCGTAAGGGCTTACAGTCTAGTGATACCGGTCAAATCTTTTTTTAAAGATGAATGTAAGATGTAGTTTCATGCTACGTTCTTAGGACTCTTCATAAATGGCAATGGATGTGCTTCAGATCCTTTGAAAGTAGTGCATTTTCGGAGGATCTGACACAGAGTAAGATGACATTTTTGGGAAGTCTAACGCAATGGAGGTTTCATGTATCAAATGGAAGGCCTTCGAAGTCTATGCAAATTGCAGACCACAAAGGCGTATATAACCTAGTGATATCATCATATCAATGAGTCATACTCGTAATAGATAAGAAAGTGGATTGAAATTTCATGCTATGTTGTTCGGACTCTTCAAGAAAGTCGGTGGGTGTACTATGATTCACAAAAAATACTTCATTTTAGAGGATCTGACATGACCGCGATAACATTTTTCGAGAGGCTAGCAATGTAGATTTCATGTATCAAATGGAAGGCCAACCTAATGATATGAATGAGTCTTCCACGAAATAAGTATGAATTTTGAATATAATTTTTTTCAAAAAAAGAATGTGAATTGAAGTTTCATGCTATGTTTTTCAAACTCTTTTAAAAGGTGTGTGTCACGTCTTCTTCTTTTGGAGAATACGACAAAAACGCGTCGACATTTAGAGTTTGAGCATATTCTTAGATTTCATGTATCAGATGAACCTAGAAGTTTATTGAGTTCATACCATGTCATGAATACATCACCAAAGCTCTCAAATATTCTCAACAATGCCACAATAATCCTGAACAAGAAGAAAAAAAACAAATTAGAACCAATCGAAACGGTTCAATTAGAAGAAAACATGTAGCAAAATGGTTGACTCTCCCTTGCCAACCCCAAAAAACTCAACATTGCTCTATGTTACTCAGACTCTCTAGAAATATAGTCAAAATGTGTGTCGGATCCTACAAGGCTAAGCATCTATTAAGGATCCAACACTGATACAACAATATTAGACGATCTGAACAACGTAATGTCCCTTCTAATGTAAGATAAGGACCAAGTCAAGAAAGGAATAAAGTTCCAATAAGACCAAAGTATGTTACCATTTACTTTCTAGAATCTCATTAATACTTCTTTTTTATGTCATTTTCATATGTGGAGTTGTAAATTGCTAACTACTCCATCAATTATATGGACTAAAAGAATAGACTTTTGATTAACATTGGTTGACCTAAAGTTAATCAAAAGAAAATAATTTGATTAGAAGTTAAATAAGATTTCTTTTAATTAATCAAAAAGCTTGAACATGTCAAAAAACTACTCAATACCAATCATTTCTACAAATCCCTTTTTGCCAACTTTGCTTTCTTGATGGTTCAACTCTCCCACCCACCCCTCCTCAACTAACAACCCCCACCCCACCCCCCAATATAATCCAAAAATAATACTTTATCCGTTTCACTTTGTTTGACACTATTTCTTTATTACGACACACTCTACGTGATCATTCAAGCCTTGAAAATAGACTCTAACAGAAAATGCAAGATAAGGATTGACCCTTGTCGTGGACCCTTCCCCGGGACCCGGACCTTGCGGATAGGGGGAGCTTAAGAAACTTATATATAGCTATTACACATATTCAAAACTACAAGTTCCAAGAAACTCATAACCCCACACCGACGTAAAATTCTGCGTCAAGTCAAACTAACGAAAAAGTAAGAAAACAAAGTTATTTACCAATATTGGCACCAAAATCTGAGTTCTTCAATTTCAACTCTGCTATTCTCAACAGTCTTATAACATTCAAAAGCAGGATATGCATATCCAAGAACCAATCTGTCAAAAAAACAAAATAATCACAAAGCAAAAATCAAAAAACACACTAATAAACCCCACACATACAAAACAAAAAGCAAAAAAGCCCAAAAAAACTCAAAAGACAAAAACAGAAGGAATCATCAAAAGCAATACTTAAAAACAAAGAAAACAAAAAATCACATACACTAAACTGCTGGTGATGAGTTCTCCCAACATCTTTTCTTCAAATACCTAAACAGAAAAACTCAAATTTATAATAAATATACACATAAAAATTGAATCTTTAATCATAATGTAAATTATTACTATTTTTTTTTTGCTCAACTCAAAATGGGAGATACCCAAAAGCTAAATTTACCAAAAAGAAAAACTTGGGTTCTTCAAAATACCTAAAAAAACAGCAAAAACAATCAACACATTAGCAAAAATTACAAGAAATACCCATAAAAATCAAATCTTGATCAAACTGTGTAAAAAAAAAATTGTTAAACTCAAATGAGAGAAACCCAAAAGCTAAAATCACCACAAAGAAAAACTTGAGAGATCTTCAAAATACCTAAAAAGAAAATTTTTAAAAAAATCAACCCATTAGCATAAATTATAAGAAATACCCATAAAAATTGAATCTTGAAAAAAAAAAACTTGCTGAACTGCAAATGTGAGAAACCCAAAACCCAAAAACTAAAAGGGAATACAAAAAATAACACACACACACACAAAAAAAACTCAACCTTTAGTAAAAAATCTGAAAAAAAACAATAAAAATTGAATCTTGAAACTAAAAAAATGGGAGAAAAAACTCAGAAATTAATTAACCAAAAGAAGTTGCAATCTTTTACCTATGAGATAAATGATTCAAAGGGGTTTAATAATATGAAGGGATTCAAATTTATAATTTTTTTTTATAATATAGTTTCTTTTGTGCATAGAAAGGATCTTAAATTCTGGAAAAAAGAATATATATAACAAGGGGAAAACGTGAAAGAAGAGGATGATGAAGAGAACAATTTCGTAGTATTTGTTATTATTGGAATGTGTAAGGTTTATATATATATACATAATGATTTGGTGGGGTGGGTGGAGTAGACCTTTTTTTTTTTTTAAAGTAAACGTTCTCTAATAAAGGTGATTTCTTATGCAATCGTTTTGATGATTATAAACGTAACGATTGTTTTTTCCTTTTTTTAACTTGAGTCTATAATAAAGGTGATTTCTTATGTGATCGTTCGATAATTATAAACATAACGATTGTTTTCTTCTTTTTTAACTTGAATTTCATATATTTAAGTTGAGAATCTTACTAAAATATCGCTCTATCTTTTTTGAAATGGCGATAAAGTAGGTGTATATTTGTCTTCCCAGAATTCCTACTTAATAAGATTTTACTACTAAATATGTTATTATTGTTATGATTCTGATTCAGTAATTTATTATATAAGATATTTTATTTAAAAGTTAAGAAAAACTTTTTTTTAAATCATAATCCCTATTTGGGTACTTTGAAATTCAAAAATACTGATTAAAAATGAAAAAAAATACTTATTACGTCATCATGTTTTTTAGAAAGTATCTTATCTTTTAAAATTTGTGATTAAAAATGAAAAGATATTTATTATTTATTACAGTCCTTTAATATAAGTACCTTGATAGCCAAGTCTTTTGAATAAAATCAAAATTTTACTTACTCACTATCTAATAATATTTGTTTTCTATTGACTTTATAAATATTTTAAGAAACTCTGAATAAAAGAGTGATTTTATAATATCAATCTTTATATGTAATAAATATAATATTTTGAAAAAAGTAATAGAGAAATGATTATTATTAATGAAAAGGATAAATTAATATCATAATACAAATACATATTACTGAACATCTCAAAATAATACATTTTACTATAATCTATGACTTCTATTGAACATTCTGATATTTAAATTTCCTAATTAAAAAAAAATTCAAATTTCACAAAATACAAATTCACGATGCAAATCAAATATTTTGATATTTAAAATTTTTAATTTAAATTATAATAAAAAATATTTACTACGGTACCACGACCCTTAACGGAAAAAGGTGAGTGAGGGTTTTGGATAAAGTAAAACTTAGAAGAGAAAGTCATTTGACGATTTCTTAGGAGGGACGCCTTGTATTATATTTTTATATTTCTGCTTGTTTTTTTTTAGAAAAAAAATCAGTTTTTTTTTTATTTGTTTTCTTTTAAAAAAGCTGTTTTTTATTTTCTCATTTATTTTACAAGAAATTGAGTGAAAGAGATTTCTTGGGATTCTTTTTTTTTTATTATTTATTTTCAAACGGCGAGTTTAGCGGTTGAAAGTCTCGTGGAGTCATGGGATAATTTTGATAATATTTATTATTTATTTATATTCAAAGAGAAAAGGTCAAAATATACCACTAATATTTTATAATTTATTTATAATTATCTTTATTAGCTATCGATTAATAATAATAATAATAATATATTCAGTAATATTTTATAAGTTGAGTTTATACTTTATAGGAAAGGATGTTGTAGTTTTGTCGGTATCTTGTGAAAATAAAGAGATTTTTGATAAATTTACTGCTCAAATTAAACTTTTTTTTAAAGTAATGAAAACCATATAATTATTTTACTGCCCTTTTTCATATTAATTTATCACTTTATTATAATTAATTTTATGTAATTACCTTTGAATGTGTGTGAAAGTTTTAGGTTGAGGTTTTATAGAAAAATAGAGTTGAAAATTTAAAAATAAGAAATGAAAAGAAGTTTCATAGAAAAGAATCAATGGAGAAATGAAGGGTTTAAATGAAAATTCTTTGCTTAATTATAATTTTTTGGACTCAATGTTTTGTCTCAATTGGCTAGCAAATACATTTGCTAAATTTCAATGTTTTATTATTTTTTATTTAGATTTTCTTATAGTATCCGTATTGAAGTCCAATAAAATCTATAGTTTCGTATTGCAAAGTTCAAATCTGAAGATATCGCTTTCAATGAGTTTATTTTCATTCTCAAAATCCAAACTTAAAATTTATGAATAAAAACTAAGGAATCTCGACCATTCTTTTATCGCGATCAACAATTTTTTTTTTCTTATCTAGCAAGGATTTTATAAATACTTTCATATATATTCTTTGATCAAATTGACCACAACAATTGTTTTAATGTTTAATTGACCCACAAATAATAAAATTAGCCTATGGTTGGTTTTATCAATCTTTTGGAAGTTTCATGTGACATAATTATGTTCCCCACACACGTTAAAAAAAAGGACAATAACATAATCATAAAAAGTTTAAGTTATATGTAATGACGTTATAAAAAATTATTTAATGTACTATAACGAAATAAAAAATATAGATTAATAATATTTTTAAAAAATTATTCATTTAACATAAGTATCATTTAATAGATCATCAAGGATGTTAATATATATAGTTTATATATGTTCTAGATTCAAAGTTTGTCTCAATTGTCTGCATCAAATATTACCCAAATTAATTTTCTTTGTTGCAAATTTGACCTCTTAAATGTGTAGGACTTTGATATTTTTTTTTTTATATTTTATAGATCCTAGAAGTAATTAAATTAATTAATCAATGATTTGGACTAATTATGAGCCATAGGAAGCTTCATGTCACATTATTTGAATTATGTACAAATATATGGATCTAATTACCTTGTAGCTTACACTATCCTTTTAAACATTTTTTACCTCTTTTGGCCCTTATTCCACCTGTCTTAAAAAATCTTATCAGAAGTTTCATATTCGACGCTTTGTGAATCCTAATTATAATTTGAATTACAATAGAAAATGACGAAGGCTAAGTAAAAAAAAAGCATGTTGAATTTTAAACTAAGATGGGTTTAAAAGAAAAGGTAACAAGATTAGTATTTACAAATAATTAGTTGTAATAATAAAGACAAATTGGATTAATATCTTTAATTCATATACTTTTAGGATAAGAAGAAACAATTATTCAATATTTTTTTCCTCTTTATTAGAACCAAAATATACAAAATGAGTTAGCTTCTTCATATCAACTTGGTAGGTTTTGTCCATACATAACAATTTTTTTATTATTATTATTATTTAATATAAACTTTAATCCATCCACTTCCTATCTATAAATACCTTCTTTTAATTTTCCTATTTAAAGACAAACATACTTTTTCTTATGTTTTAACCAACAAATTAATTAAGGTTGTAGTGAGGTAGTAAACTACCTTTTTGATCCTTAATTATCTGGGGTCTCGAGTTTGAATTTTGAAAATATTAAAGTTATCTTTGATATATACTAAGTACAAAATTTCTTGACATACAGTTATTATAATTGAAATTAAAGCATATTCAATTATCGTATTTTTTTTTTATTTTAAAAAACATGCTTTATATTTAAGATAGAGGTAGATAACTAGTGTACTTTTTATCCTAATCTAATTATAATTTAAAATGATCAGTGGGTATCATGATCTCCATTATGAGATAATTAAGTAGTTGTAGCTTTGATACATGAATGGAGATTCTTAAAGAATTAATTAAGAAATAGTGTGTACGGTGAGTATAAAGGTCTTATCTTATCTCGTGAAAATAGAAAGAATGTTTTCGAGTAAAGCCTTTAATTATATTGATTATAATAGTTTTTCCGCAAGATGAAAAGAAAATGGATCTTAACATTTTCAATCCATCGTCAAAAAAATTCACTTGCCTAGCGCCGATTTATATTTAGAATATACACTAATTATATAACAGATAATGTTTCTTCTTTTTTTTAAATACTTTTTATCATAAACGTTATATGGTATTTTTTATTTTTCATCTGATATTGAACATTTATATTAAAGTTCAATTTTATTAGATAGTTACGTGTAGTAAAACTCTCAAAAGATAATCACAATTCACAAACACATCTTTTTTGGGTCATTTATAGAAGGAATTAAGGAATTAAAGGTTGGAAATGCTTGCAATACTTAAATTATATAACAATTTGGGGTTAGAGTTTGTTAAAAAAACTTACTAATTATAGTAGGCCAGCCTAAAATGTGTTTTAATTTGTTATTTTCAATTAATCAAAAAAATAATTATATTTTTAAGTATGTAACTTAAGTTCTTTCATTTTTATTTGTTTTCCATTCTAAGCAATTGATAAGTAAGTCATTAAAAAATCGTTTGATAGTTGGTTAGAATTATACAAATATCAATTATAAAAATATCATATTATTCTATATTCTATTCTGCATAAAATAATACATTAATTTCTTCGTAGATTTAAAAATTACAAATCGAAAAGATAATTATTTCTTTTTTCATCACATTGCTTTATGGACTTGTGTCTTTATACACAAGCTAGTTTTTTTTTTGCTTGGCATACACGTAAATGGTTGACCATAAGACCTTAAATTTGTATATTTTTATGTTTCTTTCGTCTCAAATTATTTATCGTATAATTATAATTATTTTTTTTTAAAAAATTATTCTATCCTCTATTTTAATCTTAATTAAGATATAGTCTCACTTCGTAAATATTTATGTGACACATCACATTTATAAGATATTCGTAGTCTTAAAAAATAATTGATAGTGTAAAAAAAAATTATGTGTATCTTGAATTTTCTAAAATAGTACCATACTATATACAAAATAAAGGTCAAATTTAGATATTTTTATGAATTAAGAAAATGCATGCTTCTATCATCTTGATCACCTAATTTGTTTATTAATTAAGATTATTAACTAGCATTAGAAAATTAAGTAAAGTTAGTTATGTTAGGTGAACCCTCTTTCATGCATGGAGAAAATAATTAAAAAAAAAACAAGAAGAAAAAAAGTTAAATACTTTTTAGTTTATGTGAGATAGTTTGAATCATGCAAAAAAAAAAATCATTGTTTAAAAATGCTATAGCATTTATATGATTATAAACTTTTTAAGTAGCCTTAGTTATATCGTAACATTTGTGTGATTATAAAAGTTATTCAGGATAAATATGAGTAATTTAATTATTTTAAAATATAAAA